ATTGGGAAGAGGAGGGGTCTCCCCCTTTCTTCGGTTGTATGCTTTTCCCGGTCCCTTTTCTTGTGTTCGGTTTCTTCTTGGCCTTAGTTGGTTGCTCCATTATCGGATTATTGTTCATAGAGAAACTTCTTGTGTGCCTTCTCTTTTCCACCTTTTGAAACCCGTCATCGTCCGAGTTTTCCTCCGTTTTATCTCTTCCTTCGGGGGTGGATGAACCGGATTTCGAGGAACTCACGATTTCCAACGGGCAAGAATTTGCATCCTTGCTTCCTTCCTTGGTACTCTCTTGCTTAGAGCTACTACATTGACTCGTTTGTTTGTTATGGTCACTTTCTTTTGTAGCCTTTGCTTTCTTCTTTTCGGGACCATTGGTTTTGGTGCAATTCTCCTCCACTTTTTTCTCCAAGTGTCCCTCTTTTACAATTTCCTCCGACTCATCATTCACTTTCTTTCCCTTTTCGTGTGTCGCATACTTTCCACATTTGGAGAGGGAATGACCAATGTAGTTGCAATGTGAGCAATAATGGTGTACATATTCATACTCCACCTTTTGCTCGAACAAAAGTCCTTCATTGCCTTTGACGAGGACGCTAAGTGTTCGCTCCTTAGAGAGGTCTAGCTCTACCAACACCCGAGCATAGTTTCTTCTTGCACATGTCGCCGTTAGCTTGTCGGTGGTGATGGGTTTTCCGACACAAGAGGCTATTTTGGCAATAGCCTTGGGGTTCCAACACTCACCAGGGAGAAATGAAAGGTTGATCCAAACGGGGACCACTTTAATGTCATCATCTCCAAATTGAAACCAATTGGGGAGCTTCTTCAAGATTAGCCCTCTCTCGTTGTTAGTGTAAGGCCCGCCTTGAAGAACTTTCACTCTATCCGCCTCGGTTTTGAATTTAAAGACAATCCATCCGTTGACATTTGGGGCGATGTCGAACTCCACATTCCAAGACTTGCAAAGTTTTAGAAGTGCCTCCTTGCCGGGGTGCCTTTGTGTAAAATATCCAACGAGGCAAAATACCCATTTTTCCGTTAGCTCGGATATGTCGTCTTCCTCAAGAAACACTCCTCCCTCAACCGGGGGGACATACTCCAACTTGAGGCCAAGGGAGGCCTTGCGATTATCGGCGAAGAGGGCGGAGAAAGGCCTCTTTTGTGTTGTAGCTTCTTGTTGGGAGTTCACCTTGTTAACTTTTTCCTTTTCTTTTTGAGCCATTTCATCGGACACCTTGTGGGTGTTATTTTGAGCTTCACTTGTAGCTATATTTTGATTGTAATCTTTCCCCCATTAACAACTTCAGCTAGACCCGTGTTAATAATGTCATTAGCAATATTTTCCTCCCTAATTTGTTTCGTAGAATCCGCATTGGCCGCAGCAAGATCAATCACGACTTTATTTTCAGTTGCATTGGCATGTAGGTTTGCTTCTTCAATGATGTATTGGTCATCTATTTCCTCAACATTATCAAGTTCTCGGTGGTGAAATGTTGCTCTTTTCTTGTTTCTGGCCATTTAGAAACATCAGCAAGTCACGAACAATGAAGATCACGCACAGGTCCTGCAGCAGTCGCACACAGTTTCTTTCCGCACGGCGAGTCACAATTCTTCACGTCATTGAGGATTTCGACCATGAACATGGGCGTCTTTTCAGTGCAAATCGAATGAGATAAATCAGGCTGGAATTTATCAAGAATCAAGAGAGAAATATCAAATTGAAAGCCCTAGAATTGCAAGAACTCTAGTGAGAAAAATAGCCACTTCTCTCTAACTTTCTTAGAGAGACAAACACATGAAGATGAGGCAGAGACAAACACATGAGAGAAATAGCCACTTCTCCTTATAAGAGTTCTTGATTTCCAAACACATGAGGCAGAGACAAATTGCAGAACCTAGTAGGAAAACCAAGCAAGAAATGAAGATGAAGAGGAGGACTTGTTAACTGTCAGTCTAGAACAAGAGCAAGAACTTTGTGTGGAAAAGTTGGCACGGATTCTTGGGAACTAAACAAAATTGAAGGGGAAAGGCATGTAAGCGGATATTATGTGCAAAAACTGTGGAAAGGAGCCTGAGGTCCAAATACACATATTCTTCAACTGCAAAAGGGCTAAGTCGTGCTATAAACTCCTGAGGATATCTTGGAATAGCTTCATATTCACACTTATTCTTTCAAAGATTGGTGGCTAGAAATAGCTTGTGCTCAGTATACCAAAACCATTAAAGATAGGATAAGTTTATCAACCTACCTTATTTGGTGGCTTGGAAAACAAAAAATGGGTGGTTGTTTGAAAAACTTGGATTTCAGAGGTTGAGTTGGTAGAAAACGTTATGGTGGAATGGAAGGAATTCAATGTTCTTGTGTTTGATAAGCTTGAGGTTCTCCAGCAAAATTTAAAAATTTCTTTCAAATTGGATGGAAATTTTACTCAGGGCTACGACAGATTTTTCATTCTGTCAGTGCCCCCCAAAACAGTGGCTTGCAGGTGATGCTATGAAAGATGGATCTCTGATCAAAGAATGGTTCTAAACTACAAAGTACCATAACACTACTATTGCAACTGAAATGACAAACATTAGATGGATTCTGGATGATGTAAGAAAATAAGGCTGGAAGAAGATTATTGGTTGGATAAGAAGCAAGACTCTAGCTGATTCTTTGAACTAGAGATTGATCTTTGATTTGGATATGAATGTTTTAGCCTTGGACATCTTTTCTGTTGCTTGTTTATTTTCTTCTTGTATATTTGTTGTGATTCGATTGTTTCGTTTGGTGTGTGTTAGCAGGTGTTAGGTCATGAGCATGGGTGTTACTGGGCTACCTTTAGGGCTCGTTTACAAGCTAGTGTTAGTTGGTATGATTTGTATAATCAATTAGTTACTCAGATGTACTGTTTCCTGAGTTTAATATGTGGTTTTATTGTTTCAGAAAAAAAAATGGATAGTCTAAAAGTGAAATTCCCAACACTCTTATTTGCCATTTTCTTTTCATTGTTCTATTCTTTTTCAACTTGTTGAAAAAACTCCAAACTTAATTCTAAATGATAAACCATATATTTCCTTACCATTTTAAAGAACCACAATTTATCTAAAAAACCCGTAATTAATGAATTATAAATTAAATTTGATTTTTTTTTTGGAACGATAGAAATATACTATAAAAGAGCACAAATGTACAAATTACACTCACCTACTGACTACATGCAGCCACCAGCTTAAATTAAATTTGAAGTGTTCTTTTTTTTAAGAAGGATAGAAATATACTATAAAAGGGCACAAATGTATAGATTACACTCACATGCTAACTACATGCAGCCACCAGCTGAATAAAATGAGAGGACAGGACAAAGACCTCCTAAAGAAGACCCTAACAGGGTAATGACCACACATCACCAAGACACAACACTAAAACGATCCCAACAGGGGTAATGCCTGAGTGTGTGGTCCCAAATGGATAATAAGTTCACACTCGGGCTGACTGAGGCCAACGGTCTAAACCTAAAACACAACAACTAATACAAACACCAACACAGACGACAAAAACAAGAACAAACAACAAGAACCAAAAAACAGCTATATATAATAAAACAACCTCCCTCAGCAGAAGCATTCGAGAAGGATAGCAGACAAGCCAATTTCGAGGAGAGCTCCAAAGCTCTGATACCCCGCCCACCACTGCAAGAAGCCTAGCAAGACGATTATCCAAGCCTCAAAAAACAATTCGAGAACACGACCCGAACTCCATCCTCTGGAAGCCACGAACCCCCCAACCGGCTAACACCACTAGCCGATCTAACACCCTACAGAAGCAGCCTAACACCACTAGCCTATTCCAGACCTCGGCCTCACCTAAACTCAGAAGGTGAGAAAAGAGAGGAAGGGGACGAGTAGGATCCATGCTCGACCGCGCCGACCCTGCCCAAACGAAGCACATCCTAACAACCCAGCCCTCAAAGAGAAGCCCCGACCCGCCACCCCCACACGATTGAGGAGGCAGCAACCATACCCAAACAGAAGCAAGAAATCCACCATCAATAATCCTTTGAATTGGCCGAGCAGAGGCACCCCATCCAAAGCCGACATAGGCAACACGAGCATCGTCCACGCGCGACCACCCCCCGCCATTTCCCGGAACCACTGAAATCGGACAGCAGTCGAGCGAAAAAAATTCGTTGGAACTCTAGCCCTAGTCTAGTAGCGGCGAGGTAGAGGACGGGAGCACCGCGCCATGGATGAGCGGTGGAGACCATCCACTGACAATCTCAGACGGCAGCTGAGGGAGCAAAACTAGCGAGGAGAAGTGGAGGTCGAGATTTGGGGAAAGCTGTGATTTTTTGGGGGAGACGACGAGGGTTTTTACTATTTGCTGTTTATTCGGCTCCTTTTAAATTTGAAGTTCATTACCACAAAATACATAAAAATCCCAAATTCTGAAATAATAAC